TGTATGTATGTATGTATGTATGTATGTATGTATGTATGTATGTATGTATGTATAAAGAGTAGGAAGTACAGATAACTGTGTGAAAATGTATGGAGAAGAAATAAAAAGTCAACTGAAAAAAAAGTACTCAAGTATAGATAACCAAGATGTCTACTTTAGTAAAGTAATAAAGTATTYGTGCTTTATTACTTTAGAAGTCTGGTAAAGACATATATGTAAAAGTTATGGGTTTTTTTGCATACCTTTCTGTTTCATCGGTTAACTGAGTTTTCTTCTCAAACCCAGGGAGGCTGCTCATGTCCACATAACCGTCCGTCTCATTGGCAGAAGACACAACTCGACTGGGACAACTGAAGAAGTCTGTAAACTGTGGCTGAGGCACAGGCCTCCGCTGTGGCACCTGAACGTTCTCATAGTCTGAGCTGATGGGAGGAACATTCTCATAATCTGAGGTATCTGTGTTGGGGACAGAGATGGAGCGTGGCTTGGTCATAAGAAGGGCTGCAAAGGGGACACGGGAGCGGTCCTCGAAGGACTCCACCCGGACGACACTCCGACTGAGGAAGGCCTCGGAGGTTCCCCTTCTTCTGCTGTCATTGTACAGCAGGAGGGTGGAAGCTGGCTCGGGTGAGACATGAGGTTTGCTAACTGAGCGTGAGTTAAGTTGTGGAGAGCTGCTAACGCTCTGTCTGTCCAAATCCAGCCGTCTGTTGGGTGAGCGACTGCTGGACTCAGCTGAAGACTTCAAAGAGGGTGATTTTCCTTCTACTACTGGCTTGTGTTCTGTTTTCCACCCAAACTTAAGCATCAGGAAGCGTTTTATAGAGGACTTCTTTTTCCTGTTTTTCTCTGCCAAGTCTACCCCGGTGAATAGTGAGGGAGAACTCTTTGTGATAGGCTTCTTGGTGATGTAGGACAGCTCAAATGGAGGAGGGATGTCCACCAGAGATGTAGGTGTGGACAAAGCACTTGACAACAGAGGAGAGCACCTGGAGAAGCTTTCAGAGGAGAACATGGCGTCTTTGTTCCTCTGTGATCCATCCCTGTAAACACACAGTGGAGTGTCCTGGCCCTCCATGGAGAAGGAGCGGGGATACAGAGACAAATACTGCGGTTTGGAGTAGCTCCTGTGTCGCGTTGAGCTCAGCATGGGGCTGCTGCTTAATGCAGGTTGTCCAAAGCCACTCATGTAGGTCTTCTGCAAATACTGCACTCCCCTATCCTCCACAGAGTTGGTAATCCGGTGTGACATAGAGTGTGATCGAATCCCAACAGGCTTGCTGCTGAAAGGAAAAACATTCCCRGCACGTGAGGTTTTCCCCGGCTCGTCATAAACATGCTCCTCGCTGATGTCGTGCTCGGTGTCGGTGGTCTCGTCCAGAAAAGGCACAAGGCAACCCTCAAGGTCGTCCTCATCCCTGAAGACATCAGAGCCATTCGGGGACAGCAGCTGGCTCTCAGAGAGGGATGACGTCAGGGAAGAGTCGGTGTCTATTGGCACTGTGATCGTTACCTGTTTGAATCTTGGCTCGCAGTCCAAATGGTTCAACACATCCTCCGATTCATGAGTTTTTTCTTTCTCAGTTTGATCAGACAGCCTTTTCTGACTTGTCCTTGTTTTGTTTTCACGGTTTTCATCGCTTCCATTTTCATCAATGCTACCAAAGTCAAYGCTGTCCTCTATTTGTTCATTTTCTTCCGTTCCCTCGTATTTCCCAGTCAGAACTGATAGCGTCCTCTCTAGCCTCAGATCGCCRTTAATAATGTCCTCTGAACAAATGYAAAAGGGTTCATGAGGGTTAGGGTTAGCCAAATGTCTCATCGTTGCATCCTGTTTCTGCTTATCTGGGATGAAGTCATAAAAACAATTGTCCTGTTGATCCTCACCCCTTCCCGTGTTTTTATCTTCTTTTGCTGTTAAAAAAAWATGCTTGCCATCAGCGTCCGTTGTTCCTTTGACAAGGATCCCCAATTCATCCATGTAAGACTCTGATAAGTCATCTGCCATGCTTCCATCATCCTTCTTTGCACCTTGATTGGCAGTTAAATACCACTGAGCCTCCTCATCAGTGCTATTAACAGAAATGTCTCCCACTGAGAGGCCTTCTGTGTCAGCCAGCGCCTCGCCCGCATCACAGACCTCGGCATCCATGTCCTCCGTCACATCCGTATCAAGTATCTCCTCGGAGTCAGCTGTGAGCCTGTCATCACTAACCCACAGGGTTATTTTCAGGGAGTCACCTTCCTCCGTCAGGGTGCTGTCTGTTAATCTCCAGTCCTCGTCCATTTTCTGAACAGCATCTTTCTCATCTTCTTCGTTCGTCGCCTGTCTTTCCGGTGACCACTTTGACACCAGCTTTAAACCAGTGTTTGGCGACTCCAGGGCATTGCCGTTTAATTGTTTCTCTCCAGGCAAAGCAGTCATAACTCCTTTGTTTAGGCCATTCTGTGTCTCACACTCTTCATCAACCCCACCATTAAAAGTCACCTCACCGCCATTACTGAACCCTCCCTGGTTGCCATTTAGCAGCAGCGTGACTTTAGGTTTTGGGGCGACAGATGGTTTAGGACCCCTGGCTGCAGACAGGAGAGGGGAAGGCAACTTCAGGCTGGCGTGACAAACAAATCTTGGCTTTGGAGCGACTGAAGGCTGGGTGCAGTCTGAAGGAACAACAGGAAAGGGAAACTGTAAGATTATGTGCTTTAAAATAGCTTACAGGTTCATTTGTGTGGYGTTCCTGTGACCTACATCTGCCTAAACACTTAATGATAATAAACCTTAAAATAGTGTGAGCCAAGAGTCTTTTGTCGATGTTATCAAATTTCCAGTTTGAGGAATTTCATCACTCTAATTTAAGGAAATTTAACAAACACCCAGTTAGACAAGACGTTCGTTCAGATTGAGTATTGTCCTGTAATTTGTTCACGTTTGATGGCTCAAGTCTGGAAGCTTGGTCTGAATCTTGGCTAAATTCAAGTTAAAACATCTTGTTCACATTTGGTTTGAATGTGGTCAAAATTCATAGTCAGATCTGAATCTTCAAAAACCGCACCAACAGGCTTCCAGCAGAGCCAGCTGGATTTTATGTTCCCACTCTTGGGTCCAGATCTAATTTTGGTCACTAATGCTGTTACAACTGTTACGAATGTAGTGTTTTAAAATACAACAAAGGCCTGGTAATGCGTAATGCATACTTTTATACAGTTCAAAAAAGAACACAAAGAAGTCTGAGGGATTTCCCTGACTCACTTCCTGCCATTCAAACGTGAGAGACCCTTGTTAGGATGCCTTAAAGTCCTATAAGAATACAATGAGTTAACAGGCAGAATAGAAAATATGCAGTCAATAATATTAACACAATATCAGAAGTCCAACAGTACTAATTCATGATAATTTAACCATTAATGTTTGCACAAATGAGAAAACACTGCGCTTAATGAACACTTTTGTCATTGACTGTTCTCTCACTGGGATGAAAAAGGAGCTAGAAAAAAGTCAATAAGAAGTCATTTAGAACAAAATATGAAGAAGTCGGTTTGAACAGTTAAGAAGAARTCCTCTCACCTGAGTTCATTTTGGCAAAGCGGCCACCTCCAGCATCCCGTCCAGCAAACCGCAGCTGTGATACACTTTGAGGTGGAAAAGGAATAAAAATCAGATCCTCTGCTCCCAACAGAGAGTGGAGGGACTGAACAGCGTCTGCTTCTTCTCTGAGAGCCGAGCGCTGCTCAGCTGATCCGACAGGCAGACAGGCAGCGCGCGCGACGCGACTGGAAACCACTGGGACTGGATGAAACACACACACACACACACACACACACACACACACACACACACACAC